AAATTTACATAAAATGGTTTCTGGAGGCAGATGGAATTTATACAGATAAACTCAGAAAAGAAGATAGGCCAAGGGGATTTTTGTTGCAATGCTCTGATTTTCACCACAGTTCCCTATTATTTATTACTTATAACATGATTCATAGTTATTTATTAAAAATGCCCTTGTGCTGGTCAAAGGAAAACATATTTTCTCCCAAGAATACATAAGTCAAAGTTGTTATCGTCATAGAATCTTCTATTAGATCAGAGTAAAGACCTGGAAGAAACATTGCATTCTCTTCAAAAGCACTCCAGGAAAGGGAGAAACTTCAATTAAAAAGCATATTTTTTCTCTTTCAAAATTAAAATACATTAGTTTCATTGATTTTCAAGAAACCATCAGTCATAACTCATAGATCAGTTTTGAAATTGAAAGTGTGCCATTAATTGGCGAAAAAAATATCTATTTTTTTTGAACTTCATGAATCTTAAGACAGAATATGGATCTTTCAAACACTAATTAAAGCAATAAATTGTAGTTCATGTCCTCATGCCCTAACTTATCCAGAAAGCTTTTGGGTTTCTTTTACCTCTTTAGTAGATCAAAATGCAAGACAGAAAAAACAATAAATTAATAAAGACAAAAGCAATGTCACTTGTACCATACAAAATTGGGTGTTGCAATAAGATATCAGTATGCAACAGCAGAGGCTGGTTTGGGAGATTATCACTCCAATACAGTACCTCAAATAGGACGAATCTATTCCCTGCAACAGTTAAATACCACTTATCACAAGAATAGTAACAGCAGCTTATTATCAAAATGCAGGCTGAAAAGTGCATGTTGGGAAGAAAAGAAACTTACTTAACAACCTTCCATTTTAAGCACTCTATGAACAAGAAGACACCAATACTCTTACCTGCTTTTGCATAGCCAATTATTCCACCAGAAGCTACTAAAGCTGCATAACCAAAGCCAATCCAGTCTAATCCCATCCTGGAACATAACACAACATATAAGTTGGATCGTATTCATGGTGATCAGAGAGTAAATCCTACTGAGACTAATGCTCAAGTTAGACATGCTTTAGTTAGTGGAAATCCTGAGAACTGAATTACATTATCTCATCTTCTTAGCTCTTATAATTATCACCTGAAAATTTACCTTTGCAGCTAAGATTATTTAAATTACTGCTTTGCCTTTTAATTTTCTATTATAGCATATAGAAAACCTAAAAAAATACCAATTTCTTTCTAGAAATGCTTCCATGCTTTAAGATGGATATTTAAATGTTTGCATGTCTTGTATGTCTTTGGTTGCCATTTCCCTACTTGAGGTAAAGTCTTTGGATTTCAGATTCATTAACTATTCTGAAAAAAAATCAGCCAGTTTGGGTTAGTATTTTGCCATATTGTACATGGTTTCTGTGGAGAGAAATAAACTTTGCTGAAAAAGCAGGATAAACCATATAACTATGTAGGGTTGTTTTGAATATGCTTTACATATATGCTTGATTAAATACAAAACACTGAAATTATATTTTTAGCTAATTAATTTTTCTAAGTTTTGGGCTGAGTAAGAAACAGGTACAGTAGAAGAGAAACAGGAGAAGAAAACAAGATTCTCAGCCTGAATGGCTTTATTAAGTTACCTTGAGCTCAATTCTGCAGTCCAGGGAGGGAGGATGAATACAAATGAAAAATAAAACATATTCATTCCACAGATCATCATTATTGTGTTTCTCATACAATCTCTATGGCAAGTGATTAGCTACCTTGTTGTATATATAGCTAATCTGAGAAAAAGTGCTACATAAGTCAAGAGAATAATATAATCAGGGACCTTATTCTTATTTTATTTATTTATACTCTGCCTTATTTTTTTTAAAATAACTCAAGGCAGCAAACATACCTAATACTCTTTCCTCCTCCTATTTTCCCCACAACAACAATCCTAATGAGGTGGGTTGGATTGAAAGACAGTAACTGACCTAAAATCAAACCCTAAGGCTGGCTTGAACTCAGTTTCTCCCTATTTCTAGTTTCAAACCTTAAACCATTAGAGCAAACTGGCTAAACCTACGGTAATTCTGCCGATCCTGTGACATTTTATGGGAAAAAGTTAATTTGCTCTCAATAATATCTGATTTATAGCTGCACGTATGCATTGCCTCAAAACTTTATCATCTATCGACTATACTTACCCGGGGATACCGTACAATAACATGTACACCCTGAAAATCTCTTACCCTTGTCCTTTGCCCTAATAATACAATATGAGTCAAAAGGCTTCCTATTAATGCAAAACCTCAGGAATCTTCATTAAATGTGGTTACTTACTCTCTGATGCAGGAACAATTGCAGAGGTCTGCAGAGTAAGAAAAACAAGCTCGCTGTCAAATGATCCTTTTACTATCGAACTAGCCCGGGAGTTCAACAACTGCAGGAGAGCAATACACGTGACACGGGCCAATCATTACAACCCCCGGAGTTGCGGCCTGGGTTGTTGTTTTTTTCCTTTTGCGAAAGCTATGGCCGAACAGCGTATTGCCCAGAGTTTTCAGCCCATCTCTTACAAGAATAGCCTCCAGCAGAAAGCAGACAAATTACAATAAGTTAAGATGCTCTCAACAAGATCGCAAGTACTGGAGATCACATCCTTAATAGTTTCTCGGCAGTGTTGCCATTGCATTATTCCGGGGTGTTTTGTTGCGGCCCCAGCAACCTCCAGGCAGATGTTCTGTGTCAGACGTCTGAACGAAATACCACCATCTGTCAGAAGTGGAATCAAACATCAGAACAAATCCTTTAGCTTTTTTGGGGGGGGGAATGGGGGCTCCATCCTGGGCAGTACTTAAACATCGCGGAAATGTCTCACTGCGATTTAAAATGGACGCGAAATATTGCAACATGAGACCGTCGTTTTGTAGATCTAAAACCCCTCGCTGGCTCTCTAGATCCAGAAATCGAAACGGTTTCCGGGATGATGAAGCGAGACGCAGCTTTCAAGTACATTTACGACGGGAGTAAAATTGGATTCCTCTCTACTGTTGGTGATGATGATATCCAGTCAATCATGTCTGATTCTCGGCGAATATCTACAAGTGCCCGAAATATATGAATAGATGTAGATTTATCCACAGTTCTCCGCATTAAGTTATTATTAAGCATAATAGGATTTACTTAGCAGTCAACACGTTTATATGTGTTTATACCAAGGGTAGGCAACCTCGGCTCTTTTATGACTCATGGACTTCAACTCAGGAATTCTGGGAGTTGAAGTCCATGAGTCATAAAAGAGCCGAGGTTGCCTACCCCTGGTTTATACAATGCAGCCCTGAATTATATTTCCTTTAGTTCATAAAGAGTCTGCGTACAGCACATATTCATTTGAACTCTTTTCTATTCCATACATTTCATTTTGCTTATATTTATCCCAATGTTTTGCTTTCCTCTTGATTTAGCATATTTTACTTCATCATTCCATAATATTCTTTGGTAACAAATTTTCGATAGATTCCATTTTTCATCCTTTCAGATTTTTTTTTAAAAAATCTCCATTTTATGGATTTAACCATACTTCTTACATTCCACTTCCCCAAAATTCAGTCCCAGTATTGATTAGAAGCCACAAATCCAAATGGAAAACCAAATTCTTGCACATATCTTGCACATAGGGGCAAATGGAACATACTGCCATTTGAGTATGACTACTCTTTTTGATTGCCTTGGAATACTTTTAGCTATTTATTCTTTGCCGTAAATGCAGATGAAACATTGGGGAAACAAAACAACCACTTCATAAACGCATGGCACAACATAGTACAAACCCATTGGGACAACATTCAGCAGCCCATCTGCATTTAAAAGACAAAGGCCACTCTTTTGAAGACAGCGAAGTCCATATTTTGGACAGAAAGGACTGCTTGGCTTGAAAGGCCATCTATGTCAAAACTGAACAGCCCTCTCAAAAGAGGGGGAGGGATAAAAACATCATCCATCTAGTCTATAACTATCCTTTCAGCAGTTCCAAGCTTCCACACCCATTTGCACTACTCATGTGACCCCAAGGACACAGACAACCCCAAGTGGCCTCTATGACTCTCTAAAAGAATGCAAATGCCCAGCTGTCTGCAAGGAATATGAATCTTTCCATTCCCCACCATATAGTCTTGAGCTGAAGAAACTTCTTGAATGAGAAGTGAAATGTCTTCAAAGAAAAATGAAAGTCCAGCCACCTCTTGAAAAAGCACCTTTGGCAAGTAGACTAATTCTTCAGAACCTCTCTGGATAAGGAATGGGCAGATCATCCACATGTGCTCCAGATGCTGCTCCTTGCAAGGAGATTGCAGATTAATGCTCTTCCTGGAGTTTAAACACTGGGGGGACAAGGGATGAACCAACTTGTTTGCTACCATGGTAGAGCCTTTTAAAGGACACTAAGTACAAGTAGTCCTCAACTTACGACCACAATGGAGCCCAAAATTCCCATTGCTAAACAAAACAGTTAAGTAAGTTTTGCCCCATTTTACAACTTTTCTTGTCACGGTTAAGTGAATCATTGCAGTTGTTAAGTTAGTAACAGTTATTAAGTGAATCTTGTTTCCTGACTTTGTTGATCACATGACCTAGGGACACTGCAACCATCATAAATACATGCCAGTTGTCAAGTGTCTGAATTTTTATCAGAAGACCATGAGGATGCTGCAACAGTCATGTAAAAAGTGGTCAGGAGTCACTTCAGTGCTGTTGTTAACTTTGGTTACTAAACGAATGGTTGTTAAGTCAAGGACTGCATGTATGCAAGCCTTATTTTCTAACCATTTTTGGAAATTGCCTATTAACCATCTTAAAGCCATTAGTCTTTTGGAATGACGAGTTTGAGAAATCAGTGGCTCAGTTCAACCCTGAAGAAAATTAAAATTACAACCTTCAGAACTTAAAAAGAATTTGAAATAAACAGCAAAAAATCTAAATAACATTTTGATCTAAGAAAATTACAAATGGATAAAGGGTAAATTTGGTAATATTGACTTTTATTTTGGAATTAACTATAAAAAAATAAATAGCTTCTCATGGAAACTGGAGTTTGGCTGATTTGGTTCCTAACAAAGACAAGTGACTACTATTTTGCACACTGTACATTAGAGGGACCTAAAGATCCTAGTTGGAAGGAAAAGAGCACAAGTCAGTTTTTATTGTCAGTTAACTGAGACATAAAGTGACACAGAATGTCATAATATTGGAAAGATTAAGGATCTTTGAAGAATAGTCAGAAATTAGTAGCTGCAATATAATCAGTGTCAGTAATAATATATGATTCTATGAATAAATGTATGTCAAAATATGTCAGTGAGAGAATGACAGATAGAGCAAATTTTGTCTGACAATACAGAAAGTACCAAAGGTGGAACTACAAATAAAAGATGAAGAGAATGAGTTGGAAAAGAATACTGTATTGGATAAACTGGTGAAATTTTAAAAATTAAAAGGGAAATACAAATGAGAAACCAGGAGAATGACCTGGAAAATGTTTCCTTAGTAGATCTACATAACACACTTGTTAAGCACTTGAAAAAGTCTGTGCAAAGGGATAAAGAAAAGTTGTAAAGATATCAAATACTATGGCAATATTTGAATAAATTAAATTAAAGCTGTTAGAAATAAAAGGAATATAAAATTGATTTATTTAATCAAGGTTAAAATGAGATGAAAATTGGAAGTCATTTCTTTATATTCTTTATTATTATGCTCTTTTTTCTCTTATTTGTCTTGCATTTTTTATTCTTTCTTACTCTTTTTTCTTTAAGTCTACTTTGTATTCATTTTTACTCTGGTAATTAAAATCCTTATATGAATAATGCCTCCATGAAAAAACTTAAGAAAACCTGAAAATATCAAAATATATTAGCAACTTGGAAATTAATTTAAATAATATTAGAATAGGAAATTTCACATACATTGTAGAATATTTGAGACTTATATTTTCACACTTAAAAACAGAAGTCAAAAGATCTGGGTATTGTTATGGCAGAAATATAATAGCTATTTCCTAGAAACATTAATATATAAAATATTCTTAAGAATGTACTAAAAATGAAAAATGTCTTAAAGTGAAAAACACATTGGTTCCTTGTTATATATTTAGTATGGGATATGATTACAACTACATATTTATTTTAATCTCTGTAACTTCTTCTTTTGTTGCATGTTTCCTGATTTTCTTTTTAGAACGGGTTTTTGGACATCTCCCTCTGAGGGTTTATTACTATCGGTCCAACAAATTTTCTTTTTCTTAAGTGATGGCTGCTCGGCTTCATGTACTGCAAAATAAAACAAACAATTATATAATTTTAATTATAGTTTACCTGACAGAATTTTAAGAAAGTTCTATAGTAATACCCTGAGATGAAGACGTTGTGGCTTCAACGGGGATCTGCTCTGTTTCAAAATCTCTTTTGAGCCATACTGCTAAGCAGGTAAGCCTGGCCTTAGTATTGACCTCACATAGCAATGATGGGGCATTCTCAATCTGAAAAAAAAAAAAAATCCAAGACATTTATTCACATAAACTCCAGAAAAATAACCATGCTATTTTATAGCAGCTAAGTAATAGTCATCACATTGAAGATCAGTAGGGTTCTGCAGCATCCTCTTCCTCAGACAATATGCAGATCTATCAATATTTATGTATTTATTTATTTATATCCTGCGATTATTATTTTACAGAGAACTCAAGGCAGTAAATTTGAAACTTGAATGGCGTATAAGAACTAGAATAGAATAGAGCTGGAAGGGACCTTGGAGGTCTTCTAGTCCAGCTCAAGCAGGAGAACCTATACCATCTCAGACAAGTGACTGTCCAGTCTCTTCTTAAAAATTTCCAGTGATGGAGCGCCCATGATTTCTGAGGGCAAACTGTTCCACTGGTTAATTGTTCTCACTGTTAGGAACTTTCTCCTTAATTCCAGGTTACTTCTCTCTTTGGTCAGACTATGGTGACACCAACGACAGATAAAATCCCAAATGCACTTCTGTAACCTTATCTTAAAAGAACTTGTTCAACTGTCCCTGTTTCTTAGAAAGCTGTTTTAAGGATAGTCTGCGCTACAGTCTTTTACTTAGGAGTAAGATCCATTGTACTGAACATTTCTGGAAGGACATGTCTCATAGTTTTTATTGAATGTGATGCAACATTTACAAAGTTTCTAATGAGGTCAATGTAAGAAATATGCTTAGATGAGGTATAATTGTGAGCAATCCAAATTGTACTTATAGCTAAACCTGTATCTCTATAGTATAAACTTAGAAAGATTTTAATTCAATTAGATTGTTATTCAGTGGCAGACTGCACAGGTGAATACAACGAAAGGCTTCCATTATTCCTGGAGAACTTCATTTGGATTATTAAATATTGATTATTTCAGTGATTTTCTAACGTTGCAATGTCACGATCCCCCCCCCCCAAATTGAACTAATTATTTCAAGAGGTTAAAAAAGGACAATAATATATACAATATGTAATAATGTACAATTTTACATTTAATAAATATTTCCCACTGAGGGCTTGTTAGGAAAAAATGGAAAGCAATGCCCAGACTGAATTCTGATGATGCTGTTCCTCTCTAGGCAGGCTGTTTAAAAATAGGAACCACTATGAAACCATCTCCTCTACCTTATCCTTTTTGCAATCCCTCTCAGTTTGAGAATCCTGAATTAGCTTATAAAATATAGTTAGGAATTATTTGCAAATGACTAAAATGAAGTAACTGTAAAATAAGCAAAGCAAAAGCAAAAGCCTTCAAACTCTAGCATGCTACCTTTTCAAATGACAGCTCATCTCTTTAAAATATGTATATTAATTGTAAAATATTTCTTGAAAAATAACATCTAAGTAAAGTGCAACATAACCCTATCCATGTTTATTCAGAAATAAGTTTCCCTGACATTAAAGCAAGCCAATTGAGTTTACTTAAAACTGCAGCTTTAAGTATCATGGAAATCATGAAATAAGTTAAAGATACAATTCTAAGTTTTAAGGACTGTATCCAGTAGGGTTCTTCCACTCGTACAACACTTCCAATCCTTGTAAAAACCACTCTTATATGAACATTCAATTATTATTATTTATATAGACAAGCTGTATAAACCATTTTATCTTCTATTTGTTCTTTGTGTAATTATTAATGGAATATCATGTCTCATTTTTCATACACTCCTAACTACTCTTCCACAATATTCTGAATAGTTTGATACTATACAAACCTTATCAATATCCAGATTCCATGCCTTAATGTAGCCATCACTTGATGCTGTTACTAGAATGTGTAAGCCTTCCATTTTGAAATTGTATAGTGCTTTGATTCTAAGGATCAAGAGATATTACATTTCAAAATTTAAATAAATAAAAAATATTCACAATATATAAAAAAGGATTGCAAAATGCTAACAACTATTACTTAACCAAATTCTACCAATATATGGAGAACAATTAACTTTGAATTGTGCAATGGAATCTTACTTTGGTCCCTCTCTGCTTTATTCCAAACACTATCTCATAGAATAAAATGTAAAAAAGTGCAAGGGAAAGGAAACAGAGAGCCTAATTTACCAATGGTATTCATTTTCACCAATGGTCAACAGCAACAGAACTATAATACAACTCCTCCAAAGGTGAGCACATAAATGATATGTTCAAAGAGAAAGACTGATCTAAATAAAAATACTCCAATACTGAAAATTTAAAGTATTGAATTTTGACATTAACCCTATGGCAATTACATGTACTATCATCAAACAAAACTCAGAAGTAAACAGTATGTAAAAAATTAACATGTTTTTAAACATATGCAATTATTTTATTAACAAAACATACCTGTTTTCATGAGCCTTAAATTCACAAAGGCATTTTTGAGATTCACAATCAAATAAACGTACGAATTCTTCATCTCCTGTAATAGCAAGTATGGAATCCTTCAAGGAAACATGAAAAAAAAGTTTATGTTTGAGATTGGATTCATTTACACATTCTAAATTATTTGACACTATTTTTCTACTTACAGTGATAAACTTTATTGAAGATATCCTCTTTTCTGTAGCAATAGTACCAGAGATAGAAGCCGTTTCCAGATTGTATATATCAACTTTGTTAGCTATAGCTACCACGTATATTTCACCACTAGGCGACCATTTAACAAGATGTGCATCTAAAAAAATATAAATCATATAGATTTTGAGAAAAAAAAAGATTAAATCACAGGTGTCATCTATTGCAGATGAGATTTGGCTCTAAGTAGTAGCCAATAGATGTTTATTTATTACTATTTAAGAAAAACCATGCCTTTACACTTTTTATACTCTTGGAATTCAAGATTTATTAGCCTATTTCTCTTTTGTTGTTAAACAAAAATTCTGAATATTAATATTAATAATCCATTAATAGATTACTATGTATAACCTATTAATAAGGATCTAAATCAGACATGTCAAACACAAGGCCCGGGGGCCGGATGTGGCCCGCGAAGTGGTTTCATGTGGCCCGCGAAGCCATCCTGGAAACAGTGAGGGAACGGCCCCCACTGCCTTGGCCCTGGCCCAGGCTGGGAGCCAATGTACAATTTTGTGGTGGCCATCTATGCTGAAATGTATTCAGTCTTAGCTCCACAAGGCCATCTAGAAACAACAAGGAATCAGCTCCTGCTGTGTCGGCCCCGCCCCCTGGGTGCATGAGAGGTGTCACCCTTTGTGAGGAATGAAGAAATGGACCATGCCTTGGCGCTTGCCCCGGTCCCACCCCCTTCTGCCAGAGACCCTCAGATCTGTCCCACTCCTGCCCATGCCCCCACAGCACCCTTGACACAAACAATGTAGAGCTGGCCACGCCCACCCAGTAGGCCACGCCCACCCAGTAGGCAGCCCTCCCACACACACCCCCGAGGGCAACCGCAATGCTGATGCGGCCCTCAATGAAATTGAGTTTGACATCCCTGATCTAAATGTTAAATTCAAGAAATACATCACACACTAGCACTTGGTAATAGAACAACTATGAAAGCCTTGGAAAAAATATTCAAAGACTGTGATGACTCTATTCTTACAAAGATTAGAATTGTGTAAGCAATAGTATGAAGGAGGTCCCCAACCCCTGCACTGCAGCCCACTACCAGGCTGTGGGCTATTCAGAACTGGGCTGTGCGAGTGGCTGACCAGAGTGCGCACATGCAGCTCAATTTGCATGAGCGGCAGCTTGGGCATTCGCGTGCACTGGCTCTCCAAGTCAAGCTGTGGGTGTGTGCACCAGCCTGCCACTCACACAAGGTCTGGGTGCGCACGCCGGCCTACCCCTCATGCAGCCCAGTTCCCCTCTCTCACATACAGCCAGGCTGCCAAGCCGCAAAGTCTGAGGACCCCTGCTCAATGAAACTGAAAATTGGAATTTTCAGAAACATAATAGGAAAATTTTGGTATTTGAGAAGACTCTTTGAGAATAACATAAGCAGCCAAGATAACAAGCTAATGAAACAAATCAACTCAAAATTCTCACTCAAAGCCTAAATGACCAGTCTCAAATTATCCTACTTTCAAAATATGTGAATACTTAGTTCTCCGGAGAACGCCCTAATACTAAGTAAATTTACTTAGAGCAGAGGTCCCCAACCTATGGTCTGTGGCCATTGGCCACCAGGCCTCAGGAATAGCTGGCGAGCCCTGCTCCACTCGCAGTAGCACCAATGTGCAGGCACTAGAGGCCCTATTTGTGCATGCGTGGGAACGATAGCACCACTGCCAGCATCACGCGGGCTGCAGCAGCCCATTTGTGCATGCTCATGCACACTAGCACCATCATGTGCACAACTGTTTGCGCATGCATGCACAAGCTGCACACACGCACATTTCCCTGCTGCTCCCTTTCCTTACAGGCCACCAAGCCGGTAAGGTTGGGGAACTCTGACTTAGAAGATATGGTTAAAAGAAAGAAAAAAAATATTCTATCACTACTAATTACACTTTTGAAATATTGTCACAAGTGTTACAATTACTTGACTTTTTCTTCAAAATTAAATATATGAAATGAGATTAAAAAAATGAAAGAACATAGATCAAGGTGCTTCTTGTATAAAAGATTTCGGTTCTAAATTAAATTGCTTGATATTAAATATCTTGAGTTGAATAGAAGCTAATTCTATTAGCAGAATACAGTAGAAGGCAATGATTTATTAAATACTGATAGAGATTTAAAGAATGTCTGATTCCAATCTACTCTGAGCACATTACATAATAAAAAACTAGAATGATAAAATAAAGAAATGGATGATAAGAGTCCCTAAAAATATCACAAAAATGGCATAATTTTACCTCAACCATTCTGACAAAAGGACTGGGACAACAGCCAGATTTTCAGCGCCTTTTAGAACATCTTCAGGGTGGGAGCTATATACTCTCTGAAGAATTCTATTGCAAAGGGCAGGCCCGGTCAATGAGCACATTTGGAACCCTAGAGCAGTGGTTCTCAATCTTTTTAATGCCGCGACCACCAACTGGTCGTAAGTCGAGGACTAAACCGGTCGTAAGTCGAGGACTAAACCGGTCGTAAGTCGAGGACTATCCAACTGGTCGTAACTCAAAGACTTTCCCTGCCCGGGAGCGCCGCACATGCGTGGTGCCGCCCCCTGCGCCGGCCGAGACGTAACTGGCAAGAGGCAGAGATGGAGCAGGCCGACCACCGGCTGGGCCACCAACTGGCCCAGCCCAAGGGAGGTAAGGCACCTGCCGGAAAAGGGGGAAAAAATGGCGGACAGCCTTGCTTGGCGACCCCCGACCCATAGGTTGAGAACCGCTGCCCTAGAGAGTATATAGCACAATAATGGCCATGATGATGGGACTTGGACCATTCACAAAGCATCTGCCATGGTGGATATGGCTAGTTACAAAGTAACAAAACTGTGCCCCCAGAATACAGTCTACTATGCCAATTTTCTTTACTTTGTAACCATTATTAAAGCACAACAGATTGAATATGGTATAATAAAAACTCAGCACATTTTAAATTTTAAATCTTTCAGTTTTCAAAGGTTTGCTGAATTCCTATCATACAGTTTAAAATTTGATGAGTTCTTATTATTCCATTATTCAGCCTGTTACCAGTCAGGCTAGTTATCTGCAATAGAATTTTATAAAAAAGTCTGAGATGGTCCTTGACAAAGGTGGCTTAGTGCAATTTTGAACAAGAAAGCTACCTTAAAGATTTGATAAATTTAAATAATAATGGAGAATAAACAAAAATAAATAGCAAAGGAATATACTTACTTTGCTTTATGTTTTTTATGAATGCAGATCTTCCTTCTACAAGGTTCCATGTTCTAAAAAAAAATACCAATACACATCTTTTGAACTGAAGACAACATAGTTATTTTAAAATTTAAGAAATGTTTAAAAGTAAACTCTTAATTTTTTTATGTTCAAATTTTAACTTCTGTATTAAAGAGAAATACTTAAAGAGTTAAAGCTGCTGATAAAATATATATCCGTGAATCTGAATCTACAATATTATCTTGTCCATTACTCCTTCCTAATTAACAAGATTGTCGTATACTAATAAGGAAAGTAAATCATTTTCATTTTAGTAGTTATGGAAAAATGTAGATGATGGTACAAATGTGGTTTCCTTTTGAGGAAAACCTTGAGAGTGCAGAGAACAGAGATGGCAAGGGACGTGGAGGCTAACCCTATGAAGAGCGGTTAAAGCAACTTGGTATGTTTAGCTTAAAGAAGAAGAAAAAAAGACTAAGGGATATAGAATAGCAACCTTCTGAGGCATGAAGGGATGTCATAAGGAAAAGGAAGTAGCACCCAGGATAAGGCAAGAACCAGTTGGAGGAAGCTTTACTGTGAGAGATCCAAACCTATACTAGGGTGGAACTTCCTGACTGTAAGACAGGGGTCCCTAGTACCGGGCCGCGGGCATGCCAGCAACTGGTCTGCACAAACAAGCAAAACCCCATCCACAGGATGCAGACACAAAACCACTCCCCCTCCAGTCCGCGAAAAAAACCTCTCTCCGTGTAACTGGTCCCTGGTGCCCAAAAGGTTGGGGATCTCTGCTGAAAAAGCTATTAAAAATGAGTGAAAAGATGATAATATATTTAAGTGACTTAACTGGCAAGATTAAGCTTAAGGGGCATATTCTTAGTGTTAGCATTTAATTTTGGAAAAATAAAATTTTATTTTATTTTGGAAAAATAATGTGCATCCACAATATTTTGATATTAAAAACTCTGTTCTGGGTTATATCTCTTGATCATATGTAGCATAACAAGAGAGATATAGTGATTATTCATCAACCTGAGCTACAGAACAACTACTTCCTTCCATAGGTAATGTTACTATAATTTGGCAATCTCATTAAAATGGGTGACTATTAAATGACTACAGAGCCCGTTGAAAAGATAAAGGTATAGGAAGTCTGTTCTTCTGAATTAAGGTAAAATAGATATAAGGTCTTTAAAATAGATTATCTAGGACCCTATTAGTCCGGCATCTGAAAAGCGTGAACATTTCTGCATGTATGATTACCATCCCACCCAACTGGAATAAGTTTGTAAATGCTCTTTATATACGGTATGTGGGTGGGTCTGTGTATATTTTTAAAACAACAGCTGTTTCAATCACTAGATTTAATTTTAAGTGTATTTATTTAGAAAATTAGTTTTGTTAGATTAACAGGCAGCTTACTGTGAAAGTCAGCTAGAATGGATTAATACATTCCTAGAGGAACTACTTTTACAGGCTAGTACATTAGATTCCCCTTTAGCACCTCATCCTTTTGTTGCCTATTCTTACTTTTTCAATTATGCGTCCCAATCATACCAATCAAGAAGTGTGTGTGTATGTGCGTGTGTGTGTGCGTGTGTGAGAGAGAGAGAGAGAGAAAGAGAGAGAGAGAGAGAGAGAGAGAAATCTTGATAATATGTTTCTTTTTTTTAATAAATATTTTATTAATTTTCTAGTTTTGCAATTATAAGTACTTAACAACGTGTTGTCTGGGTCCATTAGTAATTCAGTGGTACATATTAACTTCCTCATTCTAAATCCAATACTACACATCTAGTGCTTCCTCTCTTCTTCCAGTGGTATATATTTTTCCACACTAGGCAAATACAATTCCTATTGCTCTTAATACAATTGAATTATCAACATCTTTATCACATTTTTCTAATATTATACATAATATCAATAGTGTCAGTTTAAAATATCTTTTCTAACCAAAACATATCCCAATTGCACCTGCTTTAAGGCATGTGTGGAAGTTGGAAATGGAGATGGCAAGACAGCAAAGTAGAGAGCATAAAACTTCACATAGTTTTGGAAGCATTTACTATATTATATTACTTTTACTCGATACTTATATATCTTATAAATTTGTTAACTTGTTTAGCGATAACAACATCTCTGATATTTATTCTCACAGCTTGGAACAGCTAATTGCTTTGAAGTTATAAAAAAATAGCATTATCTTAAATAAAACAAAGGCCATTTGCAGTCTTATGACATACCTTAATGTTTTGTCTGTTCCTACTGATAAAGCCAACTTTCCAGAAGGATGAATAGAAAGAGATGTCACATGGCCCCTAATACATAAAAAGCATCAAGAGTTTTACTACAAAGAGACCATTATCAATATATGCAATCATAATATGATCCACGAGTAAATATAAATATTATATTAAGCTTATGTTAGACCTTACCTGTCAGTCTTGATGGCAGAAAGATATTAATTTGTAGCAATTGTAATTACAGGTAGTTTCCTTCTCCTCCAATATTTAGAGATCATTTTGATTTTAACAACAAATATTGGTTAGGTTCTTAAGTTTTTGTTACCTTTTTATCTCTGTTCTCTGTGTTTTATACTATATTTTTATTGTTTCTGAAATACGTATGTGTGTATCTGTCTCTGTGTGTGTGTGTTTATATATATACACACACATATATGTATATATGTGTGTGTGTGTATATATCTATGTGTGTGTGTATATGTGTATATATGCATATATGTGTGTGTATGTGTGTGTATAGATAGATAGATAGATAGATAGATAGATAGATAGATAGATAGATAGATAGATATTGTGTGTGTGTGTGTGTGTGTGTGTGTGTGTTTTATATATAATCAATAGAAACTTTGGTCATGGAGAAGCAAAGAAATATAATAAATAAATGAAAAAGAGGTTTAAAGCAAGAGATGGGGAATTTAGTTTTCATCATGTACTTCATTTTTTCCCCACTACATATCATTCTGGAGAATCCCGAATCTCTTGATTATCCAAAGATACTTTTTCACAAGGGAACTGGACTTTGTTTTTTGGTTTTTTTCAGCTTATTCAGAGCTGAAAAAGTTTCTTGGATGAGAAGCAAAACATCTTCAAAGGAAAAAAAGTCCAATTACGTTATAAAAAAACACCTTTGGGATAGCTATGAGCTAGATCAGAGGTCCCCAACCTTTTGAGCACCAGGGACCAGTTCTGTGGAGAGCATTTTTTCTGCAGACCGGAGGGGGCGGGGTTTCATGTACTGCCCTGCTCAGTGGTGGGGGGATGCTAGCGCCAGGACGCTCGAGGGCAGGGTGACGCTAACAGCGGTGCGACACTCGGGGCGGGGTGACACTAGCACCAGCAGTACACACGGGGTCGGGGTGACACTAGCGCCGGCAGTACGCACAGGGGTGAGGTGGCAGTAGCGCCGGCGGGATGCTTGCCACTAGCGCGAGTGTGGGGTGTGTGAGTGCACGTGAGTGTGCACATGCACTGGCCATCCCTTCATGCGGCCCAGTGGCCAAGCGGCCGCAGCCCGGTAGTGGCCCACGGCCCACAGGTTGGGGACCCCTGACCTAGATGATTGAGAATCTCCATACACAATCTCTTGAATACTTTTTCAGACAGAGGCAAACAATATATATGTGTATGTGTGTGTGTATGTGTGTGTATGTGTGTGTGTGTATGTATATGTGTGTGTATGTGTGTGTATATATATATATACACACACACACACATACATACATACATATATATATGGAAATAGAACTTTGCTTACATAGCTATGGATCCAAATTATTATATAATTATATAAGAGAAAGGGGAACATACTTGTGGGCTTGAATTGACTTCAAGCATTCCCATTTTTTTGTATTCCAAATACATATGAGACCATCTTCAGCTCCACTCAATAGATGAGCACTCCCATAGAATTCCAAGCAGGTTACAGTGCCTGAAAATCAACAACAGTTCTATTCAAGCTTTTTGGTTTAAAATGGAGAATATTTCAAAATGGTTTTATAGCAAGATCATAATTTATATATCCCTACAAATTTACAGAATGTCTTGCCATGCTTTTAAATTTTATTATCCTGCCTTTATTTTTTTATATAAATAGCTCGAGGTGGTGAACATACTTTATATGCTTTCCTCTTCCTATTTTCCCGCAACAATCCTGTGAAGTGAGTTAGGTTGAGAGAGAATGATTGGCCCAAAGTCACCAAGCTGGTTTTCATGCCTAAGGAAGGACTAGAACTCATGGTTCCCTAATTTCTAATCTGATACCTTAACCACTAGCCCAAACTAGCTCTCATAGTGGCGTAAAGAGAGAAATCTATGGTATCAGTAACAGGGGTCCCTGAAATGATAATCTTTTACCAGAAGGGCTAAAAAGCAAGTTAACCACAAATACTCTGCATAGATAGTTGTTTCAGGCTCTATTCTCTGTCATGGGCAAGGATACTCTTTTAGGCCAGGTTCATGTGCATTCTTCCTCAGGAGGCTGTTCTTTCTCTCAACCTGTGTTTCATTATTTTGCTGCATAGGACATGTTCTTGGTAGTAAGAGCCTTAACAACTGCCCCTTTTGAACCCATTAGGATGATTCCTATTACCATACTTAACATGAAAGTCTAATAGGGACATACTTGGTTTCATTTCTCCTTTGAAGAGGCACATTTGTTATTTCTTGGCATCAAGAAAGATATTATTTTTGAATCTCAGAGTAGGAAACAAATGTTTGTCAATATAACCAAACACTGAATTATACTTTTCTTAATATTTTTTTTAATATACAAATGGAGCCTTTGCCCCTTCTGATTCCCCCATTCATTAACTTAATAGTTCCATCTGCCAATGAAATTAAACGGAACTGCATATCAACATTAGACAAATGGCATAAATTAAAAGCAAGTGAGACGATTTACATTTTTATAATAATGTGATTATGCAAGTGACATAGCTCCACAAGTAATATGCCGTTCAATTTCACACATTTGTGAAAAACAGACACTTCTCCTCAAAATGAGTTTTCACCATACTGCAATCCTGCTGAGAACTATGCCTCACTCATTCAACTTAACTGTCAGGGCCCACTTCAATACCTCATCCTAAGAAAGCAGAACTCATGGAAGCAGTTTCTTCCAAAAGGAACTTTTTTTAGGAGAAGCTGATAGCAGGCATAACAGACAGGATCTGAGGGGTTCCCGATCAATAGATTAAAAGTGTCCCAAGCAAACCCCACCCCAATAGTTCATCCGGTCAGTTCGAATGGGTCAATTCCCAGATGTTAAGCCCGTTGTGGGAAAGAGCTGGTAACGCCAGGCCGTCTCAGGGTTGCAGCAATGTTTTGTTGAGTCTTCTGCACCTTCCCTTCCAAAAGCGGAGATAAACCAGTTGCCAGACGCACATTCCTTTCTCCTCCCCCCTTTCAAGCTGACATCAAGGGGGAAAAATAGTTTAAAGAGCATGTATGCGGAAACAGCAAAAATGTTACAGTGTAATGATATAGGAAAACAAAGAAATAGCCCGCAGCGTTTCCCCCCTCTCCTCCAGGAGCATGGCAGAACCCAGAAGTGCAGAAAGATTAGAGTTAGAATTAAAGTTAGAAAGAGCTCCCTTAGAATATGGGTTCTGACATAAAAGAAAGATGAACTCCTTACCATTGTGATGTACCAATGCGCCATGTTCTACCTTCTTTTTCATGTCATAGATTTGTATGGTTTCATCCTTGCTCCCAGTGACTACATATCTTTCATTCACAGCTACTGCTGACAGTGAAGCATTGTGTGCATGATGAGTAAAATCGGGAGCAACTGCCCAGTTCTGAAAACAAAAAATATCAAGACTAAGATTTATTTAAAAATCAGTCAAATCAGCTACTGTGATTTTCCTATAACATTCCAATGTACTGTTTTTAAAAACAAAGTAAAAACTTGTTGAAAAGCATTTATCTGCACAGATCCTCATCTAGCATACTTAGCATCACATCTTTCAAATACTCATCAAACGTTTTGTTGAATGCTTGAATGTAAACATTCAGTACTAAGTTTTTTCTTCAAAATAAAGGATAGATTACCAGTATAAATTAGTAGGATTGTTAAAGTAGAAATCATATCTTTAGAAAATCAAATGCTTTGAAGCAGTAGGCGATTACAGTAGATTACCCTGCTATGTGGTTGCAAACTATCTATACTTTATAGCAGTGGTTCCCAAACTTTTCTATACCCCGCACCCCTAGAACGCTTCTGATATATTCTTGCACCCTTTACAAAAGTTCAAAACAACGGCAATTAATTATGCATATAACTATAATTTTGAAAACCCACGTTTTCGCACCCCCTGGAATATTGTTTCGCACCCCCAGGGGATGCGAGCATCCGTGGTTGGGAACCCCTGCTTTATAGGGACAGGCATTTTCAGTTTAAAAGAAAAAACAGACCTCATTAACCAAATCATGATACACTCAGTCTTTTCCTATTGATCAGAAACCAATTCCATCTACTTCAATTAGCAGCAGTTATTATTGTCAATTACTACAATTATAGCTAGTGAGCTTAGATATCTATTACATGGCCTCTGGACTTTACAACTAATTTCAGTTAGAATGGTATTTATGTAATCTAACTGCATTTCCACAAAATGAAAGCTTGTGACACATTTATTTTCCAAAATACTGGATTTTGTTAGCGCCAGATGAAGAGCCTCTCCATAACTAAAGGGTGTTGTTTTTTTATGTAGACCACTGACATTTTTGTTCCACAATTTTTTTCTACAAAATTCATTATTTACTTTTTAAAGGCTCATTTCTTAATTTCACTTCAGGCAATCAAATTGCACTTTTAAATATACAAAAAAATGAAGCATACCAACAGCTTTTCTAGACTAAAAAGCCAACTTCAAATGCATTGATTTCTTTTGTATCCATTACATGAACAGATTTATTTATTTATTTATTTATGAGACTTATATACCGCTTTAAGTGCAAGCACTCTCCAAGCAGTGTACACCAGTAAGCAATGTATATATATGTATTTACATTGCCCCCAACAATCTGGGTCCTCATTTTACCTACCCCGGAAGGATGGGAGGCTGAGTCAACCTTGAGCCGGTGAGATTTGAACCGCTGACCTGCTGAACACAGTCAGCTAAAGTGGCCTGCAGTACTGCACTCTAACTGCTGCGCCACCTCAGGCTACACTACTCTATTTGTAATGGTGGTAGTGATGGCAAATCAATAGGTTTATATTTCTTTGATTGATTACTTTTATTGAGTTTTAATGTAAGCTGCCTTGAGTATTTCCACTTTGGAGATTATGCAAACCTAATAAAAGAGGAATACAGGAAAAGTCCTGCTACATTACATGCTAAATTTCGCTTCCTTTAGACACACACACACGTTAAATAACATTACAATGGAAGTCTTACTATTAAGAAATTAGTTCAAGACTGATACTATTATACAACTGATATAAACTGCAGTGGGCTTTTTTAATGATAAGTGTTCAACTTTGGGTGCTTAAAACACTGAGATTCTAAATGGCAATTAACACATATAGAATTTTTACTTTTCTATTTTCAATATTTTAAACTTTTAAAGTACAACTTCAGTAATTTTACTATAGAAACATTACCACATTGAAATCATACAATGTACTGTACCAACATTTACTACAATAAAAGGGGGGAAATATTGCTTCCTTCTACCAAGAGCTCCGCGGAAGCAATAAGCCTCACGTTATTGCTTCCCAGCAGGCGTCCCTAAAACTTCGGCCATGTTAAATTGGGAACCCAAGTTTGGGGTTTCTTCCGGTATGGAGAGCACGAGGTTGGAAAAACCGTTGCCTACAACCGCCAGGATCGGAGGCCTTAACTTCTAACAAACTGTCTTTAGACAGCCCTCTATGAAGCTGGTGTAACCTAAAGGCCGACATCGCATTTAAAAACCAAAAAAAAAAAAAAACTGCCGCGGACGACGTCGTCCGGCACCGCCAAGCACGCTCGTTGCCCGGAAGGAGAGGCGAGACGAGCCATAGGGAAAACGTTTCCGGCCGACTGCGCGGGAACGTTCCATTTTCTCCGCCCCGCGACAACGTACGGTGCTCACGAGGCGGAGCTGAGCACGAGCCACGCCGCCGAGGCTTCTGGGAAGGAAACTGAGCAGGACGAAGCGAGCCCACGCGCTTCCCCTGCCCCTTGCGCACGCTGATAGCTCGCAACTTCGTCGTCGTTTTGCGCAGCGTGCGGCGCTCGTGGTGAGTATTAGGACCCGCTAGCCAACTTAACTCTCCTTTTCTATGTTCCCCCTTCTCTTATTTAAATCTTACCTCGGCCGGTTGTATGGAGAATCCGAACAGAATCTGTTCGTAACATCCCCCCAGAACCTCCATTTCTTGGCCTTCCTTAGCGACGCCTACTAGTGTCGGGTCCTTTTCTGTCTGAGTTGTACCGCGGCCTGCTAGCCGCCTGTCCGATTTGTCTTGGGTGTGGGGTGTCTACTCCACCCGCCTGAGACGAGGAGCAGCGAAGTCTGGTGGCCGCTCCCCGTTTCCAGACTGAATCTTTTAATTTCTTCCGTCGTTTTTTGGGAGCAGGGGAGAGGCAGAAACGATTTGTTAAAAAAAGAAAAAGGAAGAAACGGAAACAGGCAGTCGCGCAGACAACCCAACCCGGGGCGGAAGTCCGGGGAGGGGAGGGAAGACGGGAGGGGAGGCCGACGGCGGCGGAAAAAACGGCTGGTGATGGCGGCTGTCCGGAAGGTGATGTTAGTATTCGGGATTTGAGAGGAAAGGGACGGGGTCCTTCGCCTCATGGACAAGGAGTATTAAGATACTCCTGATTCCGAGTCTTTTCCTCGCTTTTTTCCGCTAAGCGCCGCGTGAGCTCTGCCCCGCCCCCAATAGGGAGGCCTAGGACGCGCTGGTGCCTTTTCTCCTCTTCCCCTCCGGTTCCTTTTGAGTGCACTTAAGTTGGCTGTGGAATAGGCCTGGGTAGATCTTTTGGAGCTGCTTTTACTGATAACTGGGATATGAACGGGGTCAGAGTCTGTTGGCATATGAATACGTTGTTCACACGTATGTGCTAGTATGTTCATGGTTACGTACGCGCGTGCGCACAGGCCTCTGAATTCCCATTTTTTAAAAAAAGATTCCAACTGGTCCGTTTCCTAAGTTTTCTCATTTAAAGATTGTAATCTTCAACATCGGTATTTCAAAGTAAGCTTTATTGAAATTATTGATATTTTTTTTCCAACAACGAAGCTTAATAGTACAACTATGCTATATTTAAAAATAGCATTTTAACTTTACCTGGTGTTAAGTAGGCATAGCTCAATTGGTGGTGAAGGTTCCCCCCCCCCCCGGCCTCATAATTCCATATTCAAAAGAAAATGTTGGTAGATTAACAATAACAAGAGGGCTTGATCAGAGAGAGAGAAATAAGGGCACTTCCATCTGAAAAAAAACCTCTTCCTGTATTTTTAAATAAAATATTTAAAAACTAAAAATAGAAATTCAGAAATGAAAAGCAACCATTTAGAAGTCAGGCCTGTTTTTCTCAGATTGTGAAAAATTTATGCCCCAATGATTTTCTAATTTTAAAAGAATGAAAAATAGCCACTTCTATTTTTCACCATGTTTTGGGGATTTGTATTTAAATGTATTTGAAACTTGGCAGATTTAAAAACAAAAAATTAAAGCACCTATTTTTTCCTTGAAAAAAGATTTTGGGTTGGCATTTTCCAGTGAGATTGTCGCACCACCAGCTGTACTTTCTACAGACATTGGAGGGTGATATGGTCACAAAAAAGTCTGTCCCTTTGCTAAACCAAAACCAAATCATATTAAGGTTGCTGTTTGAACCAGATGTACAAATATTTATTATAATCTATTTTTACTTATTAAGTTCAGTACAGGTTGTGTTATGAAACAGTTTTTTTCCTAATTCTTATACTCTCTTTTTATTGCAGTGAAATCACAAGTTCTTGAACAACCTTAGTGGGAGAAAAAGTACTGCTTTTACTTCAGTTTAGATGATTAAAGTAACTAGAGGCAAGATCTCACCTTGTTCTGGTACTTGCCACCTTCTGCAGCTAATTTTTTTAAATTTTTTAAGTTTGTACATTTGACACTCATTGGTAAGTAAAGTAGCAGAGGTTGTATTTATAAAATGTGAATACTTACTTGCAGAGCAAATTTTTATTAAAAGATTATTAATTTGTTGACAGTATCCTTGTAATTGGATTTGTTTGTATTAGTATTGAAATTTACAGATTTGGTCATTTCATTTTTTTTCTTTATTCCCTCGTTTTTCTAATTTAGACAGAGTTTATGCTTAATAGAATATGTAACTGGATTACTTTGGTAAATTTTACAAATCCACATTATTTGACTTCTCTGGGTATGGGGAAGATAGTACTGTGAAGCAGTAGTTTTGTAACTGGCACTGCTTGCTGATGAAACTGATTTAAAAAAAAAAAAAAAAAAAAAAAACCTGAAAATAGTTTTTACCATTTCTGTTTAATGAACCAATACCAAGCTGCCCTTACCTGGAGAAAATAGATCTCAGTTATAATTTTATATTTTATGAACTGCATTTTTATTGTAAATGGATTTTTGTATACTTCAATGTATTTAGGTTAGATATTAAATCCTTATTTGGGGACTGTCTATGAAATGAAGATGATACAGAATTACAATTTGGTTCAGAATTTAGTGTTTTTATAGAAAGCATGGCCCTCACTGTTCATGACCCTAATTGAGTTTGGAATTTCTGTTGCTAAATGAAGCAGTTAAGTGAAATATGACTGCACTGCTTAGAGACAACAGTTCTGGTGGTACAGTTGTTAGTCCAGGACCTCATCCTTCTCCTGCCCTGCTGCTCTAGCCTCCACTTCCTACTGCCCTCACCACCACCACCTGTCTTTTGGTTGTCCTGCATTCTGGTACCTTCCCATGCGACTACTCCTGACCTTCGCTGCTGTCTTTCTCCAGCTGTTGAAGGGGAGCTGCATGAAAGCCAGCAGGTACTTTGGGCATGCCTTACCAGCAGTGGGAGGAAGAATACAGTTGAAGGTGGAGGGCAGAGATTCTAGGACAGAGGTTGGGGGGAGTTCAAGTGCAGTTATAAATGTAGATGGGCTGCTAAGCACCTATATTTTGATCACATGACCCCCAAGGGCGCTGGAACAGTTTTAACTACCATTTGTTCAGTGTCATAATTTTGCTCACTAAATGAATGGTCATCAAAAAGGCACTACCTGCACTGATACTTAGTTTGAAGTATTAGGACTGCTGTTAAATTCTTAAACTATTTGTTTTTAAATAACACTACAATAAAGAAAGTGAGTTATAGTAGACAGTTATAACTGTAACTAGAAAACTATTACAGGTAGTCCTTGACTTACAACAGATCATGTAGTGACTGTTCAAAGTTACAACGGCATTGAAGAAAGTGAATTGTGACCATTTTTCACACAACCATTGTGCCATCCCCCTGGTCACATGATCAAAACTCAGATGCTTGGTAATTGACTCATATTTATGACTGTTGCTGTCTCCCAATACCGTGATCCTCTTTTGTGAATTTCTGACGAGCAAAATCAATGGGGAAGCCAGATTTACTTCAACAAACGTGTGACTAACTTAACAGTTGCAGTGGTTCACTTAACAACTGTGGCAAGACAGGTCATAAAATGGGGCAAAACACATAAATGTCTCACTTAGCAACAGAAATTTTGGGCTCAATTATGGTTGTAAATTGAGGACTACCTATATTCTTAGCAGTTTGCTAGTTACTGTTCAAGCAAACTGCATTATTCTTAGTGCCAGTTGAGATTGTTTTTATCAAACATTGCATGATTCTTTTCAACACAAGCAAAATGCCCAGTTGCACTATAATTTTGCAAAATGGAGTACTTCCCTGATACTGGTTTGTCCTACCAAAATGACAATAACCTCTTTTACTACATAATTGTGATGGTATGATATTTTAACATAATAGTTACATTCATGATGAAAGGTATCATGATTGCATTTTAGTACTTTAAAAATTAAGACAAGGCTACATTATGTAGAATGTCTCTTTTTTTATTGAAAATTTTTATTTTTTCCATTTAAATATTATAAAAATACAATACAATTTTTAAGTAAGATAAATTCATAACCATTGGTGCGACCCGCCCATTCCCCCCAGGCTGCGTCCACCCTTTCTTAAAACATTCCCTACTTCCCTCCTCTTTCTCTCCTCCCCTCCTACTCTTTTCCCCTCCCCCTCTCCTCTCATACCCTACTTCCTCTCTACACCTTCTCTCCTCTCATCCCTATCAAACCCATGAACGCAGCATAAGGGAAGTGCCCGGGCCGCACTCCTATAAACAACCATTATCTATACTACACTTACCCCCCCTCTTACCCTCCCTCCCACCCCCAACCCCCCTCCCTTCACTTCCCAGAGCAGAATACAGGGTTAATAATAACAAAATTTAATAATAAAAGAGAAAAAAGAAAAGAAAAAAGAAAATATCATAATTAACCTTTAACTCCATAACCTATAAGACAATTCTCTATAATATTTGTTATAATATTCATTCATAAAATAAATGAAACTTTTTAATTCCATACTTTTTCTGAATATAACCTATCCATCTTCTCCATACAATGATGTATCTTTCTTGTGTATGATCCTTTAAATAAGCAGAAATTTTTGCCATTTCTGCAAAACTAGATACTTTAAGTATCCATTATGTAGAATGTCTCTTGAGATGGCATAGTATGTTGGTTGCGATAAATGAGAATTTCCATGATGTTAAATTCGTTTTTAAGCAGCTACAAGCTTCTTATTTATTAACTCATTTTTGACAATTAACTATTAGAATGAATTCAACTGATTAAATAATTCTACCAAAAAGAACGAATAGCAGAATGCATTC